CCCCAAGTGGTCCTTTTCCTTAATCTTTGTCTAACTCACTTGGTGGTGGCAGCAATACCCATCCAAAGACAAGGAAGGATTTGTGCCTTGGGGAAGTTTTTAACCTAAGCTAGTAGAAATAAGCTTAGGGGGGTCTTTCATGCGGGTCCCCACAGCTGTACCCCAGAGTGGAGAAGGAACCCTGAGAGGCTGCCTGAGAACGGCGCCACATCCTGCCCTCTCCCTGCTTCACCTCCAGATATGCTAGATCAGTGTCCTTTATCTGGCTGGAAACATTCAGGATCTGCAAGTAATCAGAGAGGACAGGGTTAGATACAGAAACCAGCACGACCCTCCCCCCACAGCACAGCGCCCCCTAGTGCCAACCTGGTAGGAGCCAAGCAGCATGGAGAGGGCGGAGAGTTTGACGCTGGTCTCTGTGTCTCTGACAATGTCCATGGAGCCCTCGGTGTCGACTAGCAGCACGGCCACCTGGGGGGGAGCCACAGGCCGGGGTCACAAGCGAGTTCCCCGTTCTGTCCCCCGGATGCCCCAGCACTGGGTTCCCTGCCTCCCCTCCCAGGCCTCTGTCGGCTCTGCTCCCCCAAGTAGAGATCTGCTGGGGTCACTCATCTCCCCACCCCATTTTCCCGCCCTTCCCACTCACCTTCCCCCACTCAGTGGGGACCCAGAAGGGCTGACTCCATGCCCACACCCCCTTGGTGACGCTGCGGGTGCCAACTCGCCACTCGAACCCCTCCAGGGGCTCCTCCTCCCGGCCCATCCAGGATCCGTCCTTCACTTCCTGGGAGGAGGGAGACACAGGGGGAGGGACAATTAATGCAGGGGGGCAGGGGGACGGTGGGTATTTTATTAGCAGGCAGGTAGTGTGGGGACCGGCGCGTTGGAAACATCTGGCCCAGGGTGGGACTGGCAGACTCAGGCTAAGACAGACACACAGACAAGCTCGGTGAGGTCTAAACAAACACTCTTGACACAGACACACAGACGAGGGTCTAGACGGACACACAGACGAGGGTCTAGACGGACACACAGCTCCCCACTCCCCTGACACAGCTGACCGGATGTGGCCAGGGGACAAAGGAAACAGATCTGTGCTGGTCTGAGCCCCACCAGCAGGGGGCGGCAGTTCATACCACTGGTCGGACAGCATGAGATGGGGAGGAGTGAGGTACCGGCCACCCTAGGGCTCCCATCCCCATGCACTGCCCTGTGGGAGGGGAGTGGGGGCTGGTGGGTTAGGGCAGCGGGGGCCGGGAGCCAGGATTCCTGGGTTCTATCCGAGCTCTGGGAAGGGAGTGGGGTCTAGTGGGTTAGAGCAGGGGGAGCTGAGAGCCCGGACTCCTGGGTTCTCTCCCCGGCTCTGGGAGGGGATCAGGGCTGCACTCACTCACACACACTGCACTCCCATTCACACTCACC